TTGGCACTTCATCGTTGCTGTGACATAGTCTTACATCACTGCTAAACACTCTGGAAAGAAGTAAACACGGTGTGCAGAGTGTTTGGCTCTTGTTGGGCACAGTGTTGCCACAGTCACCATACTGAGCAGCATAGAGGGACATCCCAAGTTTTGCTGAAGACAGTAAGTTATTTCATATGGTCAGTACAAAGATGGCCCATCTAACAAAGCTCTCTGGCATGTCTGTGCAAAGACAAAGACCACAGAATTTGAGTAGGAATTCTGGTTTCGTGGTGTACAGCATAAATATAAAGACATCCACAGAGTCCCACACGCATGTGTAAAGAAGACCTGTTTGCAGTCGCTGATGACAAGCTATCCTTGTTATGGCACCTGGTAAAGGATAACTTGTTTGCAGAAAAAGACAAGGTATTGGAAATAGTAAGGTGAGACTCTCACTGATGGGGAAGGTTTAAAATTGTCATCTTTCCAAAGATGTGCTAAAATTCACACTTTAATAATCACAATAACCAAATCATAATGTTCCAATAGCTTAAGAAAGATAATGATTAGCAGAGCAAAGTAAAAGCTTAATTTAATTTGATTGTGAGGTGGTGTAGATATTAACTGGGTTAGCAGCATGGGCACAGTCACAAAAGCAAATGTAGAGCAGAATAAAAACAGCGGGCAAAATTGCTGTCATACTGCTGGAGTAGAGACACTCATGTCTGGGCTTTATTGACAGGTCTTTGTTTTTAGTGTGAGCCTGACAGTCTGACTCAATAGAGGAAGTGCAAAACTGCAATTTCAATTCCCTTTTTTGGTTAGTTTAATTTAAACAACTTCCCTCTGGGATTGCCTCAGATCCTCTTAATTTACCAAATCATATGCATTTTTAGAGAAATTATGACAAAGAATGCCACAATGTATTCAGCAAAGAGCATGAAGTCACACTGTAGTCAGTCAGTGGCTGTGGTGTTGTTAGAGAGCTACTGGATCATCCAGACTTACCAAAAGGCTCAGGGTGATGTAGAAATGAGGTTTTTTGTAAAGTCTGTCTTTCGTTTTCTCCTGCTGGTAAATGAGCCCTTCCAGCTGGCTCCTTGCACTGGGCAACGTGTTGTCCAGCTCTGAGCCCCCAGATGGAGCAGGGCCTGAAGCTAAACTGTGCTCGTGTGTCCCAGTACAGGCGAGTCTGCCAGCAGTCACACCCCATCTGTAGTGCTGAAAAGAGCACATACAGTAAATAACCTTCAAAGAAAATTCCTATTTGCTGAAGGGAGACGTCTGATCAATTTACTCATCACAACTTCATAAATGCAACTGAGCTCAGTTCACTTCCTAAAATGTCTGGCACAATCATATGAATGTTGATTGACATAAACGGTGTGAAGGTCCGTCTTGATGTTGTGGACACAGCTGACTTTTGTCCAGGGAGCAGAGCACAGAGAGCTGGGAGCTGCCTTTCAGAAATCTGAGAGCGCTGTTTAAATCTCCTATGAGGCTACCATGTTATTCACCCTTCATTGTCCTGCATGTTCTCAGTGTGGCCACATTGAATTAATTCAGAGGACATGGCCAGATCAAGCTGGCTTGGGTCTGCCCTGAGGATCTAAGAGGAGGAAGGGGAGCACAAAGCTTGCCTTATCACAAAACCTGGATAGTACTGAATGAGCACTGGATGTGTTAAAGTCCATGACTGAACTTATGATAAGGCTGAAGCTGTGATGCATGCCTCACATTTATTGGGCATCACCCCAGGTTGCTGTGGCTGTTCTTTGCTATACAGTGCTGCATCATGCAGGCTCTCTTTTTAACACACATCTCCAAGTTTCCCATAGCAGCTAATCTCAGAAGACCACTTCTTTTACTTGGATGGGTTTTTGGTAAAAGCCATAGTAGTGAGAAATAACCATCAGTAGCATTCAGCCTACATGCATACACACGTTTACTTGTCTATATCTTTATACTTCTTCCAAATGCTTCTTTCCAGTGCTTCCACAATTTCTTCCAGTGTTTTTTCTTCAAATTCCACTCTGGCTGCTTTTAACTGCCTTATCCTCTGTTTCTTGTCAGCATGGACTAACTTGCTGGGCAGGTGGGACTGAGGAGGTGAAGTCACCTACGCCTAGCACCCAGCCTTTGCCTCCATTATTGCAATCTCCTCTCCATCCTTGATCTTTGCTGGGCTTCAGATCAATTTCTTATTTCTAGTATTTGCTACCTTACTTTAAAAAGTTCTGTTGATTCTATTGTGCCTTTGTAGCTCTCTGACTTGCTCATAAACTTTGTTCCCTTCCACTTTGCTAACTCTGATGAGGCAAGGACTGTGTTCTCATCATCCTGTCTTTGGTCTCAGCATCATCATCCTGGACATGAGCTTTTTCTGTTTGCTATGGGCATGGGCTTCTCTGGCTTTGTTTTCTTCCTTGTCCTGAGTTCAAAGCTCTATTATATGATCAGTGCACCATAGCAATCTGACTGCTTCCTTCATCACAGTCTGTTTGATCAATGAACCAAGACCTGCCAGATATATCTCTAGGAATTTGTATGGCAATGGAGTGTCCCTCTGTTAATTCATACACTCTTTGTACACATGCCAGTGCTCCAGGCTCACTCAGATGATCATATCATGCGAGTGGCTTCACACCTTGGACCACCTCTCCATCCAGATGCAAGCAGGCATTATTTATACATTTGCATCATTGTGGCAGTCTCTGCAGGGATTCTGCTGGGGAGATGCAAAGTCTGAAAAGAAATAGCTTGCCAGTATAAAAGCTGATTTCATTTAATTATACTTTGCTTTCTTGATTTTCTACTACATTTTCTTCACAAGGATGTCAGTGCCCTTTCCAATAGCGTGGCATGTTTAAATAACCTCTAAATCAAATCTCAAGATTAATGTATTTGTTGCTGGCATAATTGTTGATTTCACCATCACTGCATTTTTGGAAATACTTAGTTCCATAGTGGGATCTCTCCCGGAGAATATTTATCATGAAGTAGCAACAATGTCTGGAGTGTTTGGAAGAAGAGCTCTTAACTTTTTTACCTTGCAAAGCAAGTGACTTTCAGGATCTAGAATGTATCAAGTGTTGTCAGCCTGAGGCCTTATCCTGCCTTTGTGCTCTTGGGGGACAACTTCTGTCTTTAAAGCCAAAGGGTCAGACAGCCTGCACGGGCATAGAAACTGCTTACGAGCTCCTGCTTTGAGAGCCTGTCCTGAGGTACTGCCAGAACACTGGATGCTGCAGGGCCTGCTGTTCAGACACAGCCCAAACACACCCCATTTGGCTGCTGGCATGGCCTGGGGCTGTGACTGCAGGAGCAGGGAGACCTGCAAGATCAGATAAGCTTTCTCATAAGGCAGTTGGTGGCTGGGATCTGCGGACTCTGTGTGCTGGGATTGGCTTGGGACCGCTGTCCCTGGGGGCAGGTAGCAGCAAGAACAGCACTGCTGCACAGCTTCAGCAAAACACCCTCTCTGTACAGTGGGCATGGACAGTGCTGAGCCTGAAGAGCCCCATGGGATGATCTGTGAGGGCAGGAAAAGTCCTTGAGTGAGAGACTGGGTCCAGAGGAGAGCCACTAAGATGATCAGAGGGCTAGAGCACCTCTCCTATGAGGAAAGGCTGAGGGAACTGGGATTGTTTAGCTTGAAGAAGAAAAGGCTCCGGGGAGACCTCATTGTGGCCTTCCAGTACTTGAAGGGAGCATATAAACAGGAGGGGGTACAACAGTTCATGAGGGTGGATAGTGATAGGACAAGGGAGAATGGTTTTAAACTAAGATGAGGGAGGTTTAGGTTAGATATTAGGAGGAGGTTTTTCACACAGAGGGTGGTGACGCACTGGAACAGGTTGTGGATGCCTCATCCCTGGAAGCATTCAAGGCCAGGCTGGATGTAGCTCTGGGCAGCCTGGTCTGGTGGTTGGCGACCCTGCACATAGCAGGGAGGTTGAAACTAGATGATCATTGTGGTCCTTTTCAACCCAGGCCATTCTATGATTCTGTGAAATGGTCTGACTGGGTGAAATTATACTTTTGCTTGAGACAGACGGTTGCAGACTTAATGCCTAAATGGGGCATCCTCACACTTGTTTTAGGCTAACTCAGGTCTTGCCTACCTTTCCATTACAAAGGGTCATGTCACAGGCACATGACACTATTCTCGCTGAAAATGTTTTGTTTCTGATCAAGCTGATACAACAGTGCCCAAGAATGACTTGAATGATCTGTGGTAGTTAGCAAAAGCATCCTGCTGATCTACATGTAGCCTTTACTTAGGAATGAGCAGGGTCAGAACTGAGGTTTTTTGTACTTTTCCATGAAATCTTACTAGCAACAGTAATAATAATAATAATTTAAAAAATAAAGAAGAGAGAGAGAATTTGGGATGATGTTCATATGGCCACAACTTATATGTGCTGCATCTTTAATGTTACCGTTTTCATTAATTCTTATCTGAGATATACATTACTCCGTGGTATAGATTTGATCTGAATCAAATATAGCCACAAAACTGTATGTCAGAAAACAGAGAAGATGTGATACAACATTTATAGCTACTTCATCTCATATACTAGCTGCACAAGGACAGATGTGCCATATAGCATATGCTTTCTTGCACAAAATCCCTTGTAAAGATTTTTAAAAGTTTGAACCAAGCAAGGCGTGTTTATACCAAACCACCTTTCTGTATTCATCTATTGATCAGAACCCAAAAGACAATCTACTGTGCCAGTAAAACAAAGCCTGATGGAAATCTCAGTCTGGAAGATGATGGTGATTCTGAATTTGCTGTGACTCTCCTGATGAGGCCTCTGTACCACAGAGGTAGCCCTGAAGGTGGCTCCAGGGCTGTTTAAGCTCTCCTGAGCTCTCTTTTTCACAGTGTCTCCTTGGGCTTCTAGCTGGGAGGAACATGTCCCCCCTGGGACCAAGACTGGGTGGGGGCAGCCCTCCTTAATGGAAGAGGTGCTTTCTTCCAACTAGGAACAGGACTATGAAAATCTGTTTGTGGGGACTTGGGCAATAATGTGGTCAGTGTGAGGACAAATAATCTGACTCTTGGCTCAGGAAATTGCCCAAATGTGAAATTATTTTCTCTGAAATTAGTCTTACTGTGTCCTGGATTCTACAGATTCTGTTGTCTCCTCCATGAATGTTTGCTGTCTTTTCTCCACTCTACCATAAATATTAGGCAGTTACGGTATTTGAAGTTTATATGCTATGGTTTATGTTAATATTCAGAAAATATTGTTAAGGCCAGAAGGAGAGGTACATTTCTGTTGTGAAAGTGGTGATGAACTCAATTTTCTGAGGCTATAAAATGCACATCAGTGTACTACATTTTCAGTTTCTGCTCTTGGTTTTAAATTGTCCCTGTTACTTGTCCTGAATGCTGTATTAGTATGTAGCCTAGATGCTGGTACTGTACCCATTGTGAAACAGTCCTCTAAAATGTGCTTATTTGTATTTCCAGAAAGATCATGGATTGCTACAAGAAGTATGCAGCTGTCACTTTGACCATTTTGTCTGTATTTCTGCATCTTCTTCATACTTTCCCAGATGGAGAATTTCTCATGCAGGGTAAGCTACTCAGCATTCAGATATAGGGCAGTTGTAAAGAGCAATAATTAAACTTGTTTTATAAATGTGGTCATGAATATTATTATTCTATTACATTTATTGATGCTGGAATGTGAAGGTATAATTACTCAAGATAATTTTGCTTTCTATTTCTTCTTTAAACTTGATTTCTCCAGGTCATGAGTCTCCCAGATGACAGTTTCCTCATCTTTATGTGGTGACTTCAATCCTTAAAAGATTATCAAATAGAAATGTTTCATTTTGTTGTACTTCAAAGTACACAACACCAGGAATAGCAAAACAATAGTTCCTCATCTTAATGCGTAGAATATATTTCTTCTGAAAAACCTCTTGCGATGCAGCCAGGGTGAGGATGAGTTTACTGGAACAAAGCCACAGTGTGTAGTAGTGTGCCATAGAGATCTCCATCAGCATAGCCTCCAACTCACCCTTCTTCCCTTAGGGTCATATACACACTCCTCACTAACAAGGTGGGTCCCATGGATCAACACTGAGAAAGCTGTGCCTTTACCAACATCCACTCAGCAACAGTGTTAACACAACACAGTTTGATCCTGTTTGTCCTCTCTGGCCGATCAGGACTGAGGTTTGTAGTATTCCTTTATGTGGAGATAGCGTGAGTCCCTCCAGTAGCTGGCCTTAGAACCTCTCTCTGAGCTCCTCCCCATCTCCTAGCAGGTCTGAAGATTGTGGTCTCCTTTAGTTGCACCCAAGCTTACCTCTTGCCAGGACCAACACACTAAGCCTTTTCCTGTGCTGCTCTTGGGCAGGGAGTTGAGTGCTACATTTTGATGATCAGGTTAAGTGGGCTCCTCTGCCTGCTACAGTTCCTCTCCATTGCCAGGTCCCTGTATGGGTAAAAACCCATTTTCATTCTTAAAAAGATTTGATTTTTAATAGTGTTGAACATTTGCCTTCTGCCAATTGGTTTCCTTTAATAAGTTTTGAACAGAATAGAGAAAAATGCAAGCTACGTAAATCTTGAAGTCACCAGGCGTTTTTTAAAATTCGCAGATAACTGAGTGTTACTTCAAAACTTTCAAAAAAGGCACTGTCTATGAAGCACTAGCAAATACTGCTGTTACTAACTATCCATAGCTAAAAGATTTTACAGGTAGAGCTATTGTAGTACGCTTACTGAAAAAATGCTATCAACAAAACTAATTAAGAAAGAACAGAAAAGAAATGCTTGTGCACTACCTAGAAAGATGCACTCTAGGTTTACAAGAAGTGGATGTTGTGAAGATGAAGGACCCTGAAGAGGAGAGCTTTTATTTCTGTGCTTTTCAGTTCTGCATGCATCAAAAAGCAGAACACAGCCAGTACTTCCTCTTACTGTCTGTGCTTTCCCTTTCTCTTTGAAAATGAATGACCATCAAGTAAAAGTCTTTTCTGTATGTTTTTATGGCAGGTTGTCCAGAGTGCAAGCTAGGGGAGAACAGATTCTTTTCAAAACCAGGAGCCCCCATTTACCAGTGCACTGGGTGCTGTTTCTCCCGGGCCTATCCCACTCCAATGAGATCCAAGAAGACCATGCTTGTTCCAAAAAACATTACATCGGAAGCAACGTGCTGCGTAGCAAAGGCTTTCACCAAGGTGAGAATGTAAATGAGACCATTTAAAATTGTTTTAGGAAGCAATGTGTAAGTGAAGCAGTGAATAGAAAATAATATGTTTTTGCTGGAGGGCATTAAGCAGCTATTTGAGGGAAACATCCTTGGTACTTATATAATTTACACTTGTGCTCGTTTGTTGTTTTTTTAAAGAAATTAAAATGTTAACCAGTCCTGACTGGTTGGGTATGGAAACTGGTGCAGTGCCACTGACTTCAGTGAAACTACTGTGACTCATGATGCATGAATTGGATCTCTTGACCATTCATTTTTAAGTCTCCTGGATGTGTACCTTCTCCTTAAATGTCATGAAGTGTGGATTTGATTTTAATTAGTTGCTTTCCTTGCTTCTTTCCTGCATAAGCAGGAGTCCTCTGAGAGCGTGCCTGGTCAATACTATCAATTACATACGTGGGAATGAGGGACCAAAACCATCTGTACTCATTAGATTAATTGAGATTGTGTTTACTTTTAATAGGAAACTGTAAACATGTGCAGCTACTTTGAGCATTTAACAGTTCCATGTGGAAGTTTCTCCTAAAGAGAGTTTCTGCTAAAGCTGATTATTTTGGGAGCAATTCAGCTCCAGGTGAAGAAACATTAAATTGATGTAATCAGTGGTGAGCTAGCTGATGCAAGCCAAGGTAGCTGTCATATGGTGATCTGAATCATGTTCACTGAGTGTGCTGATGAGGGGCTCAGTTCAATTACTGGCTCACAGGTTTGATGCCATCTGAGATACCCTGGGGTACTCAAGACATCTGTGTATAGCTGGCAGACACAGGACCCATAAAAGACCTTCTGCAGTGGCAGCTGGGGGCTTGGTGGGATCCCATCTGATGTCTGAAAGGACAATCAGCCTTTTTGTGAACGCAGCTGGACAGAGCCCTGGGTCTCTGCTGGCTGCGGTGTGAGCCCAAATATATGGCTTACCTATAGATACCTATATCTGAACACATTTTAGCTCTTCTTCTCAGTAGAACATAGATGCTTTTCTAGACCACCAATGTTATGCTTGCCCTGAGGCAGGAAATAAAATTTGGCTGAGATTAAAAATGGCTCATAGTGTTCATGCTTTCTGTTTTTATAATCTCCATGTGAAGTATGTTAAGGACACTTCCTGATTTGTCATAGATTGGTTGAGTAACACTTTTTTGAGAAATAGACACTTTAAAATGTGCCAAATTGAGGACACCAGGCATGTTGCTGTTGAAAACCCTCTCATTATATCTCCAAAAGCCACTGATGATGCAGCTTCACAGATCGGCATTCACAGGCCGTTCTAATTCACATACTCCTTGGAACCTGTGTGCTGCTTGGGGTTAAGAAAAAGGCTTCAGAAATCTTTTGCTTGAGATTGCAGTTTTAACTGTGTAGCTAATCCTAATTATTTTCTTTCTCATGTGTGTGTTTTCTTTTTTTAAGATTACCCTTAAGGACAATGTGAAGATAGAGAACCACACAGACTGTCACTGCAGTACCTGCTACTATCATAAATCTTAAAGCCTGTCCCTTTGTTAATGGGATCACAGGACAACGGTGAAGGGAATATTTGTTTTTCAGCTTTTATAGCACTGCTGTGTATAATCTTATGTTTTCTGGTCAAGACACCAAGTAGACTTTTGAATGAGATGGATGGCTGTTTTATTTCCTCTTTGCTTCTTCATGCATTTAAGTAAGTTTAACTATTTCCATTAGGGATTAGATGCAGCACTTGCATGACAACCATAAGCATGACAACCATAAGCTTGATCTGTTTTCGAAATAAACTGTCAGATAAATCGTCGATGTTTCTTGAGGAAAAATGATGATTTCATAGCTTAAAACAACAAAAAAAGAGATTTTGTAGTTCATTTTCAAGTTTGTTTGTTTTTATTTGTTTTTGTGGGAGAGGGAGGAAGGAGGAAGAGAGGGAAAGTGGGCAGAAAAAGAAACAGTAATTTCCCCTCATTCATTTAGTGGATATTTTTTTTAAACACAACATTTTGTTTTTCTTGCTTCTTTTCTGTTTGCTTTTTTTTTTTTTTTTTCTTTAACTTGTGGCATAAAGCTTAACAGCAATCTGTGCAACGTGCTCTGCCTTTCTGTGTCATCTTTGATTTTGCTTGGAATTTAATCTTCTTCCATATTGATAAATGGACGCAGAAGGAGATGTTGTGAAGAGCTATGCAGTGTAGCAGTGCTAGAGGAAAGGCATAGCACATCTATATTAGCTATTTAACGTGTGGCTGAGCAGCATGGCATGGGGCTTCAGAAATTCTCAAATGCAATGTGCCAGACTGAGATATACAAATTGGAAAGGAAGAGACTTTGTTAGGTCAGAAATGGACCACAGAATATGTATTTAGAATAGACGACCTTCAAGTTGTAAATGTGGATTTTAGAGATAGCACTTGTTTGGTTTTGTAGGTTGGAGCAGGGCATCCGTAGGAACTGTTCGTGAATCTGAAGCCTGCTTATATGAACATGAAATAAATTAATTCCACTTGTCTTAACCCAAATATCTGGAATAAGAACGTCAATCCTGCTGTGATCACTGAATTCAGAGGTCTAAATGTGCTGTCTCCGAAGGCGTTAAATATATTTGTGGGGTACTTCCCTGCAGCAGATTCTGTAGGACAGTGGTAGAGATGTACCAGATGCTTCTGAGGAGGAAGGGGAGGGTGCCTTGGGGTGAGGCTGAGAGTACGGCTGCTCTATGCTGGGGCATGGCCATAACTGATAGTCTGCTGCAGTTCTGAATGACAAACCTGCAAGGCTAAGCTGTGATGGGGCCCTGGAGCAGCCCAGGACTGGCAGGATCTAATAATGGCTTAAATCCACTGTCCACCCACTCCTCCTGTCTACTGGAGTGAAAATTCACTGCTGTTTTCTAAGAATACCATAGGGTTTTGTGACAAAGAAGATTTCTTGTGGATAGAGAAGAAAGCAAAATTATTCAGCATATGTTCAGTAAATTCTGAAAGCCTGATCCCTGCCTGATTCAACCTCTGGTTCAATCTCATCTCTGGAGCCACCAGTCTAGCTCAGTCCTGTGTTGTATTGCAGACTCAGCTGTGCTGTGCCATTCCTAGGAGATATTTCACCTAGTTTGCTCCTGGAGAAACTTCCAGTGCTTATTCCAGAATCTGTTGAGACTGGCTCTGCTACTTCTGCTGTTACTAAGCTGGAAAAAAAAAATCCTCTCCTGGAAAGTTTTTTGTGATATTTTGTCTATGATATGTTTGTTTCAGTGTTACTTTTGTTCAAAGGGGAGGTAGTCCAGTAGGGTGGTCTTTAGTATGAGTTTAATAACATCAGCAGAAAAGGTTTTCATATTGAGACGTCTAATTTCTCATTCTGGATCATCACTCAATACATTGTGGGAATTTATGTCAAGCAGCCACTAAAGCTGACTCACAATTCCAACCTGTTGTGCAATTTTATTAAACATGATTGATGCAGATACTTTCACAGGGGATCTGGATCCTGCCTGGGATTTCTAGGCAATGAAAGAGGAGTGATCTGAAGCTGCAAGCTGATTGCCTTTGAGAATGGCATTGCAATTTCTCATAACTTTGACAGGACTGAAATGAAGAGCAGGGGAACACATTCTCTGAGGTTGCCTTGCAGTGGAGATGTGCCTTTTTGCCCTATGAAACGTCTCCTTGGGTGGACGCTGACTCAAGTGAGATCTTCCAGCAGCACATTTTACCTGCTGGTCTATTCGTTTCCATGCTGCACACAAGAGCAGGTTGGTGACATGATAAACTTCTGTTTGCATCTTTTGAAACAACTGCCATCTTTTTCATTGTGAAATTATAGAAATATTGAAAAATTAGAGACCCATGCTTTGAAGAAGACATGGGATGCTGTAGCCCTGTATCATTCATTCCAGAGTACCTACTCTATTTTTCATTCTCCGTGGCTCATTCCCTCTTGCTCATACAAAGCCACTTACTCCTCAGTTTCTCAACCTGTGGGTCCCCCTCCCCTCTGAAGTGATCTTTGCATTAAGGGCTAGCAAAGTGCTTATTGTGAGAACATGTGGAATGTGTGAGCACTCCATTACCTAATCTGGTTAAAGCCCTTCAGTCCGAAAGAAACACCGCTTAACAAGGAAGGTAATAAATTAAACACTGAGATACACAAACCTAGCAGCAGGTGATAAGGGAGAAAATGACAAAGAGCAGACCCCTTCAGCCCATGACCGATTGGCTGTTACCAACCGGCCCTGGGGTGGCGAAGGGATGGTGGAAGCACTGTTAGTGGTGGCAGCCTGAGCTTTGTGACTGCTGAGAAATGGGGAATAAGCATGGGGAGATACCTGAGGGAGGCTTGTGGGGCTGTGCAAAGCTTACTGCGGGTTATCAGGAGGAGCTTATTTAGAGAAAAGGCCAGAGGTGGAAAAAAGGGGTAGCAGTGGTCAGGGGGATTGGGTGAACTAGGGAGGAACAAGCAGGGGAAAACAGAGAAGAGGTGGGTATTGAAGGGCCAGCCTGATATAAGCAAGCTGCCAGTCAATATGCTTTATCTGACTAAGCCCTCTGCTTGATCACTGCAGTCTATACCATCTTCTTATTAAATTCTTTACTTAACTTTTTTTTTTTCTGTGTAATTTTACTCACTGTCCTGTGTACAAGTGCTGCAATGCCTAAATGCTAGCAGCTGAAAAAGGGACCTATACATATGAGTCCCATATGCCAAACAGTGGTAGGAACTGGGGAACAGGGTGTATGTTTATGTGAATATTTAGTCTGGGTCCTGAGACCCAGAGTCACCAGGAATCCCAGCTCAGCAAGGAGACATTCTGGCCCTGGAGCTTGCAGGATTCAGCAGCCAGCTCTGAGCAAAAACTATCAAAGTACATTTTTTGATACTGTTTCAAATCAGGACAGGACTGAATTGTTTATCTGCGCATGTGAGCATGAAAAGCAAATCTATAGCTAGGAAAGTTGTGGTGCTCAGTGAGTGAGTTTGCATGGTCAGGGCTAGGAAAAACATTGCTACGTGTCATGAGAAAGCGAATGCAGTTGACTGTAATAGAGAATGAGAGGTTGAAAAATTGCTTGGGATATGAATAGGAATAGAAGCTGGAAGGCAACGTAGACACATACCTATAAGGGCTAAATGCCAAATTTCCAGTAGAAATGGGAAACAGAAAGAAAAGTACAATATTGCTTCGTTGCATCAGAAAATGGCTGGGACGGGGGATAGATAGTTCTATATATTTAAGAGAGGTGCTGAGAGAAGAGATCACAAAATCAGAAGAGACTGATCTCTTGTTTATGCCAATAGCCAGTATGCAGCTTCTGTGTTTCAGCATGAGGATGGCGATAAAATGAAGTCCTTGCCAGTGTGGTTTATAAGTAGCAATAAATCAGTCAGGCTAATACTGCAGATTAAAAATGCTGAAGATCATGTGGGCTGAAGATATAAATGATACGTTTTTACTGTCACAGTGACCTACATAAACCTACATCACCGTGGCCCTAATAACAAATTCATTCTGTGCACAGAGGAGCTCTCTGACAAAGCTCTGTTTGCTGAGGGCTTGTGCTCAGCCTCACTGAAGAGCAGTTTGCTGTGTCCTCAGCAGATCCCTCTCTTTGTGGAGATCTGAAGTATTTACCTATCAACCAAAAAAACGCTCAGAACTGAACTAGGGGTTAAAGTGCTGCTGAGGAGCAGATGTGTGAATGGCCAGTGAGGGTGCCTCCCTGCTGGAAGCTGTGATGATTCTGAGGTATTGCAATTTCCATTCCCTGGCTGACAAGATCAGGAGGGGTGAGCTCTCAGTTGGAAGATAAAGCCTGTAAGCTGTAGGGATTTTAATGAAATGAAATTTCTGACAAGGCCTCCTACTCTTTCCAAGTCTGAGAAGCTGCAAATTAGCAGGGGCCTTCCTTTCCTCATCCTTCACCCTGTCTAAACAATGATTTTAAACAGCGATCAGGAGGAAAGGGAAGCTTATCCCAAAATCTTTACTGGCCAAGTGCAGATTGCATGGCTCCCCTTTGCAGCAGGGTGAAAGAGGGCTGCTCTGATGAGTCTGGAAGATAACTGAATACATTTATGTACAGAAGAAGCCTCCACAGTGGGGAGAAGGCCATTTGGCTATGTCAGAGAGCATTGCCATGAAGAAAGAGATATTAAAATAGCTTTAGGAAATATGCAAACACATTTTGTGATAGAATAAAACCAAAAATTTGTTAGTGTCTGGAGGATTCCCCCTTTAAGGGTTTCCCTATTGCTCTGCAGTTTCCTGTGTTTCTGGCATATGCTAACTAAACCCTTACTACAGTCACAAACACAACCACTGCTTATGCATCATATGTACACTGTATACATACATGTGCACAGTCACTGTCCTGCCAGGCCATTGGACATATTGAGGTATGATAGAAACCAATGTTCTTTTAGTTGAGGGAAGTAGCAAAAAAGCAGCTTTTTTGGGGGTGGGAGGTGATAGGGCTTCAGCTCAGTGTAATTTCTTGGGAATTTATTTTCTATTTATTTGATAATTTGTTCTTCAAAATCATCTGTCTCTCTCCACAGTGTGGTTGTTCTAAAAGCATTAAAAATGTCTTTCTAGCCACAGCATTCATCTGTGTAGCCCAAGGATTCTTTCTGACTCTGGCCATATCAGATGCTGCTTTAGGGCAGAATAAGAGGCTGGCCACTTCTTGCAGACATTTCCCCTTGTATCATTTTCAGTATCCATATTTGATTTTTGGGAGTATTAGAGAGTTCTTTTTTTCCTTGTCCTTTTTGTTGCTACTCATGGTCTCCTTTTCTATGAATTTA